GGGGGTTGTGGGGGGGCCGAGTCGGGGAGGCCCGGGGAGTGGGAGGGCTTGCCTCGGGCTGCACACCGGACTGCAGCGTGATCTTGTTCATTTGCTTCGCCAGAGCCTGTGCAGCTCCTTCCATGGCCCCGTCCTGTTTGCTGGAGTCAGAAGAGCAGCTTCCGGGCTGCGAGCTGCACCTCTCCTCCGCGCTGGAGCTGCCTGGGGAGACGGGGGTCAGGCGGCTTCTTTTCCCTCCATGTTCCACGTCAATATCCACCTCGATGCCTAGAGGCCAAGGAGGAGACAAAAACCCGTCCTCAGAGGGCGAACCTGCCGCTTACAAAGCACTCTCACATTCAGCCCCGAAGCGGGAGGGCCGGGATGCTGGCGTCCACTCCAGACCCGGCCACATGCCAACACAGGTCCAGCTCAGGTGGCAGCCACCAGCAAGAGGGCAAGTGGATGGTCATTTGTGATCTTCACGATCCCAAGGGCTGAACTCCCCAAATCTTGGCCCAAATCCTCCTGGCTTCTAGAAACTCACTGCACCTCTCTTCCTCCAGCATAAAGTCCAGAACGAGTCCCTGTTTCCCCCACACCAGGCAGGACAGGTCTGCACAGAGAGGGCCAGGACCTAGGAACCGGGGACCACGTGTGGCCAGAACGCCCCTCTGGTGCTGAGGCACAGGAGCTCCGTGCTGTTTGAGGGGCCGAGGTGAAAACCACGTGCACTCCGCACTGGCATTCTGCTTGGGCAGGTGCACAGCTCTGCAGGTTGGATGAGCTGGTGTGGCACCTGTGGTCATTCTTTCAGACACTTCCTGCCACTGCAGTCACCAAGATGAGCGCTCATCTCGTCTGAGGGCATGGGTCTGTGGTCATCTTGAACCAGAAGTCACCTTTAACCGATTCCCACTGCAGGAGGCCTAGCCCTGAGCACCCACCTGGACTAGCAGACTGACGCAGTGGGCGCTTTCAGAAGCCTGAGGCCACACCTGTCACACCCCTGGGGTCCAGGTGGCAGTTCACTAACCCAGAGACCTGCTCTGAACCTGGTGTCACTCAGAGCCCCTTCCTCTTCCTCCCTGCTCCCAGCTCCGGCATCAGCCTGCACTGGGGAAGCACCAGCAAAGCTCGGGGGTTGCAAAGAAGAGGGAGAAAAAGAGAGAAGGCATCTCAACTGACTACTCGCCCCAAGCCCTTGAGGAAATCGCAGGCTCAGGAGGAGGAAATGCAGGCTGTTCTCCCCCAAGGACAAGGCAGGCAGCCCCGGGCCTGAGCTGGTCAGCCTCCCTCCTGGGACTATTCTAAGCCCTGGCTGACTCCTGCACTCGGGGCAGCTCAAGAACCTGTCAGGGACGCCAACCTCGAGTGGCCTGTGGTGCAGCGCTTGGCAAAGGTTGACTTGAGGCCACCAAGCCTTACTAGTCTCAAGGGTGTTCCCATTCCTCTGCAGTATCTCAGCTGAAAGCTGCAAACAGCCACGCACACACTGAGCTACCAAAAGGCCCTGCTGGTACCAAAGGTCAGACAAACACTTACCCAGGGGGCTGAGGGCGGCTGCCACACTCTCCCCTACGTTCTTGAGGAAATTCACACTGGGATCCTCTGATGGACCAGAAGCTTTGATTTTTAAAATATAAAAACGATATGTTTAATTAATACATTTCTCAACGACCTTGATACCTATTGCAGTGCTGTCACCTTTTTCCTCCACACTCTCCATCCGGGGGCCTTTCCTGGCAGCCTGCAACCCTTGTTCCCTCCCACCCCTGGCCACCTCCCGGCCCCTTCACCCCCCTTCATCTGTGACCCTGGTGATCGGAACCCCGAGAGGGGCTCAATACACACATTATAAAATACCAATCACATCCCAGATATGTTATTTTCTCAAAATCAAATATCTCCGCCCTTGTCCCAAAGGATGAGGTGAACCAAAGGACACAGTAATAAAACCAGAATCCAAAATCGAGAATGCAAGCTGTGTAGTTTCTAATTTTGTGACTGTGTTATGAAGACCTGACCTAATTTGGCTCTGACTTTCCTGACGGCTAACACAAGAGAAGAGAACACATTACCGAGGTGAAGGTGTAGGGTGCTGAGCGGGCTGGGGCCCAGGCTGGGTTTAAGGCAGGGGAACTAGTGGCCGTGGGCACTCAGGCCCGTTTTCTCATTTGTAAAGCGAAGAAAGTGCTCCACCCTCTAGGGTTTGGTGAGGATGAAATAACCTCATTGGCTGTGGGTGTCCAGCCCCACACGGCACAGTCGGAATTGGGGACACGGGGAAGGCCCCCCAGTCTGCGGCCCTGCCACCTCCCCCTGCAGAAGCCAGCAGACCAAGGCTCACCGGAGTTTGCTGTGGGGCTGGCCTGGGGGTCCCCCGCCCGCGGAGGACGTGGGCTCCAGTTCCCAGGCAGGCCCATCTCCCAGGCAGGCCACCCAAAGTGCCCGTGTTTCAGCTTCCGGAGCCAGCGGCTGTGAGCGAAGCCCTGAGGAGAGGAAACAGGGCAAGTGGCGCTGGGTCAGGAGGCTCCGGCCACCCTGCGCCCACCCTGGCCAGCAGGGGGGCCCGGCTCACCTCAAAGGGGCTGGGGAAGGCGAGCTTGCTGTGCTCCCTGTGCATGCCCTTCCCCTCGCAGCCGGCACACAGGTCGTAGTCCGGGCAGACGCTGCACTTGTACCGGGTGCCCACCACTGGACCGTTGCAGCCATCGCAGATCACATTGGGGTGCACCATGTTGCGGGGTGCCTCCTGAGCACATGGGGGGCGGTGGTCCCGCCGGCACTCCTTCCTCTCTGCAGGGAGGGCAGAGAGCCATGAGGTGGGTCCCACATAGGGTTCCCTTGTCACTACCGTGGGCTGCAGCACTCTCAGCAGCCCCTGGTCCCGCTCTCCAGACACCGAGTCCATGTGGGACTCAGCTGCTCAAGTGACAGCAATAAAGTGGCCTGAGAACCTGCCGGGGGGCCCAGCACCTGGGCCCATGTGGGAGAAGCAGCGGGGCTGTGTCTGTACAGCTCTGGTCCCGCCCTTCGCTAAAATAAACCCCACAGCACCCCAAAAGCTGCTCCAGGCCACGGCTCTTGGTCTGGGCACAATCAACAGTGAACCCAGAGATCTGCCCCCACCCACTGTGGTGGACACCGACTCCTGCTCGGGCAAAGCACAGAGGGGACGGTGCCCTCTCCACAGCCCGCAGCCTCCACGCTGGGGGTTTCTCCACAGCCCCAGGCAGAACCCAGGCAGCCCCTCACCTTTAATGTAAATACGGAAGAGGTCATCCTTCACGTATGCCATGGCCATCGTCAGCTCCTCGTCACTGGAAAAGGCAACCAAGTCCCCGTCCTCATCTAGATGGTTTAAAAGATGGCACATGAGCCCCCAGGCTTCTCCCCTGCACACAACTACCGCCAGGGCTGAGGCGGCGCTCCAGGAGCACCTTGGGGGCGACCCGAAGCCCACCAGTGTGAGGCAGGGGGAGCAGGACTGAGGCCAGACTGCTCATCCGCTGGCGCTGCCAGGACGTACGGACTCCAACCTGGGCCTGGGGCACGGAGGAGGCAGGGTGCCGTGTGCATGGGCAGCAGCCGTAGTGGCTACAGTGCTCTGCTTCCAGGCCAGCTGCCCCCTCACAAAGGGGCTGCCTCGGTCCACATCTGACCAGACCCAGACGCATGGTCCGCTGTGGGCGGTCCCACCTGTGACCTGTTCCTGGGAAACCAAGCCCCTCCAAAGGCCGTGGGCCTCTCGGAGTTAGGAGAGGAAATCAGGTGACTCCATCTGCTCGCTTCCTTCCCCAGTGAAGCTAAAACTATGGATTTGTTTGCAGTCTCCTTTTTAGATGTTGGCTCAACGTGGTTTTAAAGCACCACCATGTAGGTCACAGCACACTGTACATCTGCAGGCTGGGCCAGCTGTGTGGGCCACCAAACAGCACTTACCGTAAGACTGGGGGCAGTGCCAAAAGGTGAAAACAACCCAAACATCCATCAACTAGGGAACCAACAGATAAACACATGTATGTCCATACAACGGAACATCACTCAGCCACCAAAAAGAGAACGCAGCAGGCACGTGCTCCAACGCTGGTGTGCCTGGGAAACATGATGGAAGTTTTTAGAAGCCAGTTGTGAATATTTATATGAAATGTCCAGAATAGGGACATCCATAGGAAAAAAGAGTGCATCCGTGGTCGCCTAGGGCCAGGATGGGAAGGTGGCTAAAGGAAGAGGTCCTTTATAAGGTAATGAGAAGATCCTAAAATTGTGATCATGGTTGCACAACCCTGTGAATATGCTAAAAACTGTACACTTTAGCCTGGCCAGCGTGGCTCAGTGGCTGAGCGTGAACCTATGAACCAGGAGGTCAGGGCTCCATTCCTGGTCAGGGCACAGGCCCAAGTTGCAGGCTCCATCCCGGTGTGGGCTGGCAGGAGGCGGCCAATCAATGATTCTCTCGCCACTGATGTTTCTACGTATCTCTCCCTCACCCTGCCTCTCTGAAATCAATAAAAAATATGTATCTTTTTAAATTATTCACTTTAAATGAGCGAACTGTATGGCATGTGAATTGTAAC